GACATCAAAATAGATGAGTTCAAGCACTGTTTTGAGCAATGGGAAAAACATCTAGATAGGTGTATTGCCTCAAATGGAGAGTACTTTAAAGGTGACTGAAGCTTAAACATGTAAGAATACACAATTTTTATAAAATAGTTCCGGTTTGGGGGGGAACCCCACTCATATTCCCATAAGCATCTGATGTCCTCAGAGGAGACCCACAGTGATTACAATAATAACTTCTGACAGTGGTGTTCTTCATGTCTCATTCAATCCTCTGGGCACTACTTTTATCCTCATTTTACAGTGAGGGAATTGAGCCTTTGGTAAGTAGTTCACTCAAGGTTTCACAGCTGTATGAGGCACAGCCCGAACTTGAACTCAGGGATGTCTCACCCCAAAGCCCATGCACCGTGGCCACTGCACAATAACGCCTCCCTGAAGAGAGGAACTCGGAGAGCGAGTCCTCTGTGCCAGGCAAGGCGCCAAGCACTCTCCGTTCGTAGATGGTTGAATCTGAGCCTCATAACCACCGTGTGAGGGAGGTGTTATCAGCCCCAATTTTTAGATGAGGCATCTGGGGTTCAGAAAGGTTGAAGATTGTGCTCTTAGCTGAGTATCAATCTGCTTCATAGCAAAGTCATGGTCTTTGTGCCCCACAGACTGAAGAGTGTGACACTTGAGGAGGCAGGAGGAGTGCGGTCCTGGTGTCACGGAGTCTGGAGCTCGGGCACCACTCCCGGTTCTGCCCCCGAGGCCTTGTGTGATTGCAGGCAAGACTCCCTCCTCTCGAGGCCTCCGTTTGCTCATCTGACAAATGATGGCACCATACTGGCTAATCTCTCAAGCTCCTCCTCTCAGTCCTAACATTTTTCTAGTTTCAGATTTAAGAAATTCACTTTGGACCCCTGTAGCCTGGCGTCAGCCTGATGCCCAGGGGCGAGGTTAGGGCGTGCAGCCCAGCCTTTCAGAAGAGAGCTGGTCCGTGATGCACTGTTAAGGGTGGGGCTTCACCTCGGGCCTCAGGGTAGAGGGCCCCAGCTGGACAGACTTCCCAGAAGGCTTCAGGGGTCCACGACTTCCCTCAGGGTTCTACATGGGGAGGCTGGAGGCCAGATTAAGCCCACAGGGGTGTTTTAGTTGGCTCTCGCAGTGTTTTAAAACAACTGGTATTACTTCCCAATATTTTAACATCAAAAGAGACATTACCTAAAATCTGGATTTATGGATTCTCCTGAAAAGTCTGAACATCTGGCCACTTCAGGCCCATGTTCCCACGGGCCACACTGGCCCCAGTTGCTGGCTTCTGGCCTTTCAGCTGGGACAAGCTGCCCTGCTTTGCCACTGCTCCCACGGACAAGCTGCCCTGCTTTGCCACTGCTCCCACGGCCAGCCCGCACACAGCCTCCTGCCTGGCCCTGCAGGCACTCCTCATCCAAGGAGCCAAGGGTGCTCTTTTCTGGAGGGAGGACCTGAAAGGAGGGGTGGGCTCCGTGCAGCATTTGGACATAAAGACAAAAGCTCCTTTTCCTCCAGATACGACCACGGCACTGGGCTCTTTTGGCCACTGACACCGCACCCTGCAGCCTGAGTGCAGGCGGGAGCCCCTACCCAGGAACAGAAACTGAAGGTGCGACAAAAGGAGGGGTTTTCATCCATCCGTGAAATTCTCTTTCTCCCAGCAGCCGCCACCCAGATCTCTATCTGCTTTCGGGGGCCCAGAGTGGATCAGCAGGCATGTGCCACTTCCCTGGACAGGGGCTATAATGGCAACATTGTGCTGAGTGGAACAAGAGCGGTTTTCATCCAGCGACCAGCACTGAGCAGACATTCGAGCAGGGGGCTCCGGGGCTTGCCCAGCACAAAGGAGCATGGGAGGGAGCCCCGAGCGGAGGAGAAGCCCCATAAGCTGAGCTGCATGTCTACAGCATGAGGCAGTGGGGGTGGAACGCACAGAGGCACCACTCACACAACACCTCATTGCAATGTCACTTCCCTCTGCAAGTAAATAAGCAAATATACAGCCCCAGAGGCTAAATACCGCCCCCATGACACATGCATCCATACAAGCCTCCTGAGAGTTGAGCATTTATTCTCTGACTCACTCCACAAGCCATTAGCACTCACTAGGTGCCAGGCAGGCACTAAGGACCTAGCAGTGAGGAAGATGCAGCTTCCACCCGGCAGTGCTTGCCATCCAGGGCAACGCGGAGAGGCAAGGAGAGGAGTAAGTAGGAAGTTCTACACTGGTGACGCCGTGGAAGAATAGAGGGTCACAGAGTGACAGAGTCAGCTCAAAAGTCCAGATTCGATCCCCCAATCTGTGTTTTTTTTTTCCTCTTCCCAAGGTCTCCTGAGATCAATGCCTGTCTACTCTGAGGAATGGCGGGCTGGGGCTCTGTAAAGAAGGCACCCTAAGTACCATACTAGTGGGGGCAAAGGGGGGCCATCACATATTTTAGGGGGCATTTCATCGGGACTGTGGAATGGTCACTCTGGCGGCCAGGGAAGAAGCAGACCTGGGGCAAGGTGACAAGTTAGAAAGCTAGAGTATGTTTCTGTCACTGGGACAAAGAAGCTTTGGCCTCCAAATTTTCCTTTCCCAGGGCTTCCCAGTCCCACCTGATAAGCTAAGAATGAGACTGAAGAGTGCCATTTGTTTTCACAGGGCCGGGAGCGTGAGGGGTGGAAAGCGCTCTTCCGAGCATTGTTTGCTGGGCCCGAATCTGGTATCTTTGGGCAGGGCTGAAGCTCTTCACACAGAATTCTTTAGACAAGCACCGGGTTTTCCTCGGTACGGAGCAAAAAGGAAAGGGAAGATATGAGGCAGACGCTAGCAGTCCTTCCCAGAGAGCTGCACTCTCACAGGGGAGTGGGAAGGGGAGGAGAAAACCAGGCCCCCACAGCCTCCCTCTCCATCCTCTGCCCCGTGCTTCCACCCGACCCCGCGGTCCAGCCAAACCAAACAGCGCGACAGACACACTGCAGCTCTCTGTGTGTCTTTGCTCTTGCTGTTTTCTCTGCCTGCGACGTTATCTCCTCCGTGCAGCTAGCTCACCAAATGTCCGTTATCCAGTGTGTCGCCATGATCAGTGAGACATTTTTGCTTTGTATTGGTGAACTCCATAAAGCACTTTATCTCTACTCTGGTTTTCTTCCCATAATGATTTGTACCTATATTATTTTGTACGTATTTATTTCCTCTACTACACTGTGGATTCCTTGAAGAGATTACTCCTACTTAGTTCTCCCAATAGAAACTTACACAGAGTACAATAAATATTCCTAAGTGAACTAATGAAAAGATGTAGCTTTTAGGGTAACTATAGACCTCATTAAAGGCAAAGTACAAAAAAATATATACAATTATTCCTTATCCAAAACCCACAAGTAGCCTCCTCATTCATTTCATTCATTGTCCCTGACAACCAAGCTGTAGCCAACTCAGTCAACAGTGCCACCTAGTGTACGTTAGGGGTAAATATCTAAAGAAGAACCACTACACCCAGGGGTGTCCAACTTGATGCTACTTACACAGAGTAAAGTAGTAAATTTACTTCAATTATGATGAGATTTTTTTGGTTTTAGTTAGTGTTTGTATATTTAATGTGTAGCCCCAGACAACTCTTCTTCCAATGTGGCCCAGAGATGCCAAAAGGCTGGACACCCAGCGTTGTTAATCCTTAGAACTGTCCGCAAACCAGGCTCTCCCGTGTTTGCATCTTTCCAGACCGAGGCTTGGGGAGCCCACCCCACGCATTCTCCTACAGATCCATACTCTCGTGTAAAGTGCTTCTCAGCCCCTTTGACTTCTCCAATTCTCTGATAAACCTCCAGCGTTCCTGAAAGTTTCTGAAAATTAATCTACCCAAACTTCTATTTTTGCAATAGTTATGTTCTCTACTTTTAAAATTACTTTCAATTAAATATTATGTTTTTAAAAGTATCAACAGACTAGCCTGGGACCCTAACTACAATTTATAGCCTTAACTCCAAGTGTCTGAGAGTTCAAACAGTGAACTTCTGGAACTTCATCCACTTGTGAATTGTTTGTTGTCTGCACTAGAATTTAAACTGGCCTTTTCAAATGGGAAAAATGGCAGGAACAAAAAGGAACTTGGAAAATAATAACGGCTCACATTTGTAAAGCTATTTATGGCTTATGAAGTGGGTTTGTATTATTATTTCACTTGCCCTGTGCACAGCCTTGTGGGGTCAGCATGAGGTTATCACCCCCAGCACAGTGAGCAAGCAAGCCTCACAGGCTAAATATTACACACTTGTAAAGGAGTAGAGCAAGGGCTCACACACGTTTCAGACTTAAATTCCATTGGGTTTTTTTCCCCTACACCACATTTCCTCTAAATGCTCACACACAGGCACACGAAACAAACTACCCTTGCAATTTTGCAAAGCCAGCATTAATTTCAACCTGCCCATAAAAGCAATGGAGAAAGAACTGCCCAGTCCAGGAAGGTGCAGGGTACCCTTTCCCAGGACCTTCCTCGTCTCTCTGCCTTTGCATAGGTGTTCGGCTTCGTAATTATTATTACTTCACCCCTCTTTCATACCGTTGTTGTCATCAGCACAGCACCCGGCCCACGCACTCGGTGCTCAAGACCTGTTGGCTGGAGACCATAAACCCAAAGCCGGGAAATAGGTGGCAGCTGCAGGGAGAGAGGTTTTGATTCCATGGTGGGGAATGCGGGCACGTCCTAACGGTCTCGGCAATCTGAACACGGGTGGGCTGGGAGATAGGATAGTGAGCTCCCCATCTCTAGCGGAGAGCAAGCAGAGCTGAACACCGCCTTGGTTCGGGTTGGAGCGGGACGCACAGCGCGGGACCCAAGGCGCGGCAACCGGAAAGTGAGTCCTTCGGGGCCCAGCGGGAGGGGCGTGGAGGGCGTAAGGAAGGCAGGGCGTGGCACAGGCGTGTGCGGGACTACGGACACCGGCCGGCCCAGGGGGCGAGGCGTGCTCCGGGTCTATTCCGGGAGAGGCGTGGAGGGGCGGGCGGGGGTGCCGGGCTAGCATCCTGTCTGGGGGAGGGGACGCACGGAGGGCGCTCCCGCGGGGCGGACAGGAGAGCTCCCTGCGCCCGCCGCCAGCAGCCCCGCCGGAGCCACCGCAACCTGCTCTGCGAGCCCTGGGGATCGGCCGGCGCCATGGACCGAGGCCGGGGTAAGAGGAGCGGCAGCGGCCGCACTTGTTGCTGCGCCGAGCCGGGGAAGGGAGAACCCGGAGACCTAGAGGCCAGAGAGGAGGGAGAGAGGGACGGTGATGCCTGGTGGGGGGAGTGGAGGCCGGGCGCTGTGTGTGCAGATGCCTCCTGCAGCTCCTGGCAGCCCAGTGTCTGTTAGTCCTGGCGACGAGTGGCCCTCTGTGTGTAAAACCGAAGTTTCACACATTCAGACTCCTAACCTCATGAAACAATCCCCCACAAGATTTCTGAGTCCGGCGAGCTTTCCCACCCCAGTCCCCTCATGAAGGGTACAAAAAGGTTGACAGGTTACAGTCCAGAAACACCCAACTTCTGAAGAGCCCTGTGTGCGCCTGGGGAGAAGCCCCAGGGGACCGAAGCCTGCAGCTGCCTGGGGCACTGGGAGGAGGAAGAGCAGGCGCAGGGGTGTCCTGGCTCTGTTCCTGCCTGACCAGCTCCGTGACCTTAGGCCAGCCCCTTCTGCTCTCTGGGCTGCTGACAAGGTTGGACCAGATCCTCTCTGGGGCCCCTTCCTCCTTGAACTCTCAGATGAGTGTGTTTGATAGGAATGTCGCAGAAGTGGTGGGGGCTTGCAGAACTTGGAAGTGACAAGAAAAAAGCCGGCTGCGGTTCTAGGGGGCTGTGCGTAAGAAAAGACCCAGCCATCTCAAAGAGCATGGGTCTGGAAAGAAGTGGCCTGCTAGGACATGGGGACTGTGGGTAAGGCTGGGACACCAGGGTCCTAACCGCCCACCTCTGGAATCCAGAGAGATTACAGGTGTGAATACACTTGGTACGCTAGTGAGTGTGGTGCCAACAAAAGAAGAATGATTATTCTTCTTCTTATTATTAATGGAAAATTCTTCCCCATCCCTACAATAATCTTAACGCACTCTCTCCATCTGCCTGTTTGCTGTGTGCTGAGGCCATGGGGCGGGGGGGGAGGGAGTGACCAAGGCTGTGGAAGCAATTAGGAGTGCACTGGGGACGGGGACTCGGGCACGAGCAGTGGGTGTCAGGGTCGCCCCTGCACTCCCGGTTCAGATTAAGCCGGAGTTCGGAGGGCTGGAGGGGTCCCTGGCTCCCAGGTCAAGATTTACAAAGCAGTTCTCACTGTTCGCTGACTCCTAGACGAGTCTGCAGAGTTTGCACACTCCTTAGGGAGGAAAAAGAGGAAGAGACAAGAGGCACTGATGTCCCTGCGCCCTCCGCCCCTACCTCCCACATCACACATCTAAAGCAGAACACCAGCCCCCACCCCGTTACCTCCCACAAGTTGTCAGGTTCCACCCTGTCTGGTCCCCAGCACAAAAATCCACAACTAGCCCACCCCGAATTATGGAAAGCAGACTATGTCCTCCGCGGGCACACCAGGGGTGGTGGCGATTCACTTAGTTTTACACATTTAATAACCGGTGCTTCACTTCAGAAGGCCGCCTCCAGAGGCTCCTCCCAGGAAGCCGGACTTCCCAGGAGTCTGTTAGGACTCCGAATGTTCTAGGGCTCTGGCCCTCTTCCTCCTGCAGGCTTTCCAGAGCCACTTTCCTCCTCCTTCACAGCTCTCGCCACAGTGTGCCCTAACTAAGAGTTACTTATCCAGCTACCTGTTCCTGTCTACCTCCCCTGCCCCACTCTAGCTTCCAGAACACTGGGGGTGGATCTGCGGGGCCAGTGTGCTGACGGGGTGGGTGCCTGGCACACTGTGGGAGCTCACTCACTAACAGTGGTTCAGTCGTTAGTTAGTGATATCAAACACACTTCATAGTGCACGTCAGGTTAACTGTAATGCTGATTTTTTAAAAAGAATGTTACTGTGTCCTCTCACCAGAACAGTTCTTTGTGACTCGCAAAGGCTTTCCCAAAATGTCAGCAAAGTGGATGGGCACACAGGACTGGGTTATCGATCCTCGGTTGTAGTAGTCTGCCCTGATAAATTACTGCAAGCCCTTTATGAATGAAAGCAAACATGACTCAGTATTAATTAGAATACAGAAATCTACGTGTTTTAAGTTGAAACATGAGACTTGAAAAATCATTCCAGCAGAACTTCCTTGTGCCCCATCCCCAGATGAGTGTGTGCGCATACTTTCTGTTGTCGAGGAAGGTGTCAGAAGTGCAGGCCTCGTTGCAACCCCCGCCCTCCCACGTGGGGAGTGGGACTGCCATGCCCAGGCTACTGTGGAGGAAGCACACTTCAGAGTCAGTAACAATGACAACTGAAATCGTCAAACTCTTGCCATACACCAGGCACCAGGCACCACATGCAGCTTTGTGCATGGCTTCTCTTAGAACAAGCCATGGGATGGGGACCGTGATCGGGTGCTATCGTTAATGCCCACGTCCCAGGAAAGCAGGCGTGCCAGGTGTATTAGACAGCTAGGGCTGCCTAACAAAATACCATAGGCTGGATGGCTCAAACAACAAGAACTTATTTTCTCACAGTTCAGGAGGCTAGAAGTCCGAGATAAAGGCGAGACCTTTGTTCTGAGCTTGTAGCCAGCCTCCTCCTCACTGCGCCCTCACATGCTTCTCCTCTGCAAAAAGCAGAGAGGAAGAGCTCGGGTGTCTCTTCTTAAAAGGACACCAGTTTTAGAGGATTAGGGCCCCACCTTTATGACCTCATTTATCCTTAAATACTTCCCTAAAGGTGCTACCTCCAAAAACAGACACATTGAGGGTTAAGGCTTCAACACATGAATTGGGGGAAGGGAGACAATTCAGTCCATAACAGCAGGTCACTGACATTGACTCGCCTCGTCAGGCACCACGACAGAAAGAGAGCTGGGTTAGAACAGAAGTTCTGATGGTAAGCTTGCTTCTGACTGCCTCCATGGTGGCAGCTAGCCTGCCCAAGTCCAAGAGCAGAGCTTGGACGCCAAATATTCCTGCAACGAGCACCCCCTCCCACCCGTGCCTCCATCGTGCCAGGGGTGCACTGTTCAGATCTTCAGTAGCAATTACAGCATCAAAGTCAACTGGCTGGAGAGTGGAAACAAACCTGGGAAGTAGGATTTCTCTTCTGACAGTGTATGTGTCTTTCCATAAGTAAAGCAGGATTCAAATGATGTAGGAATGGACTTCGAAACCACTTACAGAACTGCTTGAGTGTGGTTGGGAGGGTCGTAATACGGGTGTAGTAATTTATAATTTTAATTTGAACATTTCACCTAAAATGTCATATGGTATGCTTGAGTGTGATATTGTTATGTTACAGAATTACATGCTTATGATTTTGTAATAAACTAGGAGTGTTAGTTGTGCCATACCCCATATTATAATGAAATTCGTTCCAGTAGGATTTCCTGATTCGTGAATATTGTACAAAGAGAATCAACCAGTGGTGAAGGTAACACCTTCACTGTAGACTAATAATACACCGCCTCCTACAGGACAAGTAACTAACTTATTGTCCTATGAGGACAAGATATGGATACTGGTAATACCTACTTCCTGGGGTTGTAAATATTAAGTGCATGGAAAACACTTCATACAATGCCTAGCACATGGAACCCACTCAATAAATGCTTGCTATTGTAGTAATTACAATCTTTTAAAATCAGGTTTAACATAATAAAATTGCTCTACAGAGCTCTGCTTGGTCCCTCCACACGCTGGTCTCACTCTCATGACACTCTCTGAGTCCCTACTATAAATAATGAGTTGGTCAGCTGTTGTACAACGCGGTGACAGGGCCCATGTCATAGTCTTCTCTGTATCCTGGAGCTCCTTTATGGTGCTTGTCTCTTGGAAATGCAGGTTCAATAACTGGACCACTATCCGACTGACATTTCTGAGAGTCCACTTTCTCTTATTTATTCTATGTATTCATGCCTGCTGACCATGGTTTTGTCTTCATAATTTTGCTTTTGCAAACTTACCAGTCTTCTCAAGGCATCTTCACTTTAAAGTCTTTTGTCTAAATTTTCTTTGATTTTTTTAATATGTTTTCTTAATGTCCAAGCTTATGTCTGATCTGCCGGGCTCACATGTAGTCATTGATTGCCCCCAGATGCCTTTCCTTTCTACAACTAATTCTTTCTCAACTAGTCAAATCCAACCCAAGATGGGAGTTTCTTTGCTGCATTCTATATTCTTTGGGAAATCATATTGTCTACTAGACAACTCAAGAAATAATTTGAAGCTCTGCCTTTCATTAGATGAAATTTTTATTGTTCAAGAGACGATAGAAGAACCCATTCTGTATCTTGCCCTCTGTTAGACCAGCTTGGAGATGATGATGATGATGATGATGATGATGATGATGATTAAAGCCACATCTTCCCTAGCCATAGCTTGCATTGACCAAGCAGCCTGTAGCCACTCCCATGAAAAGCCCGTCCCCAAGGCTGTGAACCCCCACACCTCTCCCCTGACATCCGAGTTCATCGTCTCCACCATTTCTGTCAGTTACTGTCATTCTGAAAGGAATACTCATCCATACTCACCTTTTCCATCCAAACACGTTCCCTGAGGTCACCTTCAACAGCCTGGCGACTCAGTAGAAGTGAGCAGTTCAGTTCGGAGGATGGACAAACTGGGGTTTGAGTTTGCAACTTTCTAGCTATGTAATTTTGTATGAATTGGGTGAATGACTTGATTTCTCTGAACTCCAGTTTCATTTCATCTGGAGTGTCATGGGAAAAGCTAGCACTGAGGAAGTATTCAATAAGTGATAGATGTTATATTTATCAAATATAATTACTTGGATCTTAGCCACGTTCTGCAGCGGGTGTGTGTGGTCATATGGGGCCATGGTATTTAACCTCACGCTCGTCCCTGCAGAGGTTTCTGCTGGTCCCTGGGCACCACTTCCGTCCCCTTGTCCCAATCAGCCTCCTTTGTGTGGCTTCTCCATTATAGTCAGGGTTTTTTTCTGCCTCTTCCTCAAATATCAGTTTCAGGCCCCACTTCTCACGTGGGTGAGCACCCTGCCAATTAAGTTTCTCCCTCCCCACCCTCTACCACAAGCATTATCATTATT